GTATCATCACCTGGTTCCTTTTCCGTCTCTGTTGGTGCCTCTGGTGAACTACATGGATTCACAGTGCAGCTGCTGGAGAGCAGTCGATGTCGACTACGGGCACGTAGTATTACATTGGGTCAAGCCACGGTAGTGATTCTTCGCGTTGGTGAACTGGATGATATGTTAGAACGCATGAATGATGTACGGTATAGTTCTACTAATGCTGCTAATAATAACAATAATAACACTGCAGGGGCAACAACTGCATCTACTACTAGCGCTAGTGGTAGTGGTACATCACAAATGACACCTTCACCATTTTCACCTCGTCAACACGAACTCATCTACCGTTACGCTACGGAAGAAAATAACGATGATACTACTACTACTACTACTGCCTCTCATATGGATATGCATACATCTCATGCGAAGGAGACGAATACACTTTTTGTAGTGGTGGGAAGTGATGATGGATACAGTGAGACTACACTTCTGCGAATTGCGGCATTAGTGAGTGAATTATGTCTTTTCCTCAATATAGACCCAGAGCGTGGTGGACCAAATGCACCACTACTAAGACAATTATTACTCTATATAGAATCAAGACTTGCTCAATATGATATATCTTTGCTATGTCAGACGATTGAATGGCTTTTGCATCCTGCTATCATTGCTACTGGTTTTACAAGTAGTAACAGTACAACTTTACTGGATGAATTAGCACAGCAATCCTATTTGCAAGATGCAGATGTAAGTCAAGTGCCAAACTATATTGCCGTTTTATTTGGGCATAAACTTGTCTTGGAAACAACACCAAATTGGAATGAAGAGGCAGCTAAAGTTTCTTCTCTGGATCGATTACCCTTACATGATTCTGATCGTTATTTGGCCTATTTTATAACCTGTGCCTTTTTCTCTGTTCCAATTCAGCGTAATTGCTACGAGGTCTCCTATCGAGAACGACAATTATGTACACTGGAACAACAACTAAGGCGTTTTGGAATTCACCGTTATAATGTGAATCGTCTTGCTGCACAAGAGGCCATTAAGAAGTATACAATAGCATTACGGCAAGAGGGAGTTGGTGAATATAATCGGGCAAGTTTTTTTGAACAGGCCTATAAAGAGTTAGTAACACTAATGTCAAGTCAATCATCCAAAAATAATTCGGATGAGACATCAAGAATAGTTCAGAATGAATATCATCACATGGACTTGGACATTTCTTCTGTTGAAGGAAAAACATTTCAAATAGATAATGTCTGTTTTCGTAACTCCAACGTTGTTGGGGCTATGCAGTTGCGTTGGATTACTGCTACGGGGTCTCACATGCGGCAAAGCGTCGATCATGCAGATGACAGTTATTATATTAGGAATGTTTGTCCATTTGGATATGGGATGTGTCTTCTCTTTCTTCCACCACGAAATGTACGTGATATTCCTCGCAGCCGATGGCTTCCGAAAGTATCAGAGATACAAGAAGGAGGAGATGAAAGAGCTTTACGGCAACTCTCACAGGATGTTCTTGGAAGTATGGAAATAAGTTTTAATCGTTTTCAATGGTTGTTTTCTCCACCAGTGGAGGCGTATGAAATACCTGGATTAATGCACTTTGTGGCTATTGATCGTCGAAATAACGGTGGTGTTGTCGCTAGTTTTCATCACATGCGGCATCAAAAACCCCAAAATGTTCAGAATGCAGTGTCATCACTGAAACGACTTATTGCGATGAATATAAGTCGTTCTCATACCTTTCTACACAGTGGGTATTCAGAGGGTCTTTGGGGTCATTTTGGTATGCAATTCTTTTACTGTATATCTGCTATAGATGGATCAGCAATAACAACAACAACAACAGCTTCTTCTCCAGCAGTAAACACAACTTCAACTGAACGTACAATGCGGAAGAAACCTATTTTTATGTTTCGTTCTGATGTATCCCAACAGACGAAAGGGGCCACAACGGAAGTTGAAACACCACAACCGTCACTATATGAAGATTCAGGGACTACAGAAACGCCCAGAACAGGAACTTCAGACTCTCTGTTTGGATCTCTTGATGCTGAACGTAAACTACCATCAGCTATTTTACCACATTTGGTGTTACGTCCAATGTTGATATCTGATTTTATGTCGGATGAGCCTGTTAGTTTTCGTGTGTTAGAGGTGTATGCTGTATTTGTGGGGACCATGTCACCTGCTGAAGTCTGCAGGGAAGTGGAGAAATTGTTGCGTAGCCGCGTTTTACCATTCTGGGGTACTAATTAATATCGAAACTTTATGAGTTGTGTCTCTCTCATGAAGTCACTGATGCCGCTTCTTTTTTTTTTCTGTTATCGTTCTTGCTTGTGTTTTTTTTTTCTTTTTTTTCTTTTTTTTTGACTGCACCTGTTATTATTATTATTTTTATTATTATTATTATTACTGATATTCTTGTGATGTTGGTGGTGGTAGAGAGTAAATTCTTTTTTTCCATTTTTTTTTGTGTTTTTATAGGTATTATTATTGTTATTTGTATAATTAATGCATTATGAGTGAAGATATTTTAATGGAAAATCAGCAAGAAAATATTGGGCTGAATAACAACAACCCAGTTCCAGACACAGAAGTACCTCAAAAGAGTGGCATTTTTGATAATAAACGAGTGTTACTGTTGGGATCTATACTCGGTGTAGCGTGTTGGTCACTTGCAGGGAATACATGTCGCTTGGCCATTCAAGGTGCTTTTCTAAACCAGACATTTCTTGTAACACATGAAAAATTTGGCCCTAATGCTATTGGTTGTTTTATCATGGGTTTTATCTCCTCTTTGGCCTCCATGGTAACAAGAGAAACGAAATTCCCATGGATTTACAATAGTATTCTCGTTGGATTTTGTGGATCCCTGACGACCTTCTCAGGTTGGATACTAGATGTGGTTGGACAGGAAAATGCGGCTCTCGCCATTGGTGAACTCATCTCAGGTTTAACGATGCCATTTATTTTTCTTATTTGGGGACGTGACTGTGCTTTGGTACTTCGGCCAATAATTCAAAAGGTACTACGTGGTATGAATAAAGCTGAATATAGTTGTGGTAATTTACATATGGTAAATTTTTTCTTCCTCATTTTCTCTATAGTGGCAACGGTTGTAATTCCTATAGTGATTGAAGTCTTTGTGCATCATGAGACTATTGATGTGAGTTTTGCTGATCGTCGTGCGGTTGTTTTGGGACCTGCCGGTGCTGTGCCGCGTTTCCTACTTGCCCTATTACTGAATGGTTTGTCTTGTACACGGAAGTTTCCATTAGGTACACTCCTCTCAAATATTATTGCTGTGATATTAACAGGTATATTTGATTATTATTACAGAAAAACAGGGAATGAATGGTATAGTATATTAATGAATGGACTTTGTGGATCTCTCTCCACAGTCTCTTCTTTCGTTAATGAGATTGTTGGGCAGTATACAAATGGTATGCGTGGGATGGCCTACTTGTACGCATTTATATCATTAGCTATAAATTGTGCTATTTTGGCTATATGTCGTCACGCATTTCCATAAATGTCTCTGGCTTAGATATCTAATTTCATCTCCATTTGTACATTTATTATTATTTTTTTTTTGCAAATATTCTCCACTCTTTCACTTTCTAATATATATAGATTTCTATCTCTTTTTATTTTATTATTATTTTTTCCAATCTGTGTATTTGTGCTAGTATACCTATATATATTTATTTTTGTATTATCCTTTTGTTATCCATTTTTTATTTTGTATTTTTTACTCTTCTTCTTTTCCTAGTCTGTGTCTCTTTCTGTGTGTGTGTGAGAGTGTTTTTTTCTTTTTTTATTATTCTGAGTCTAGTGTGAAAGATGTCTGGCGGTGCTCCCCTGCCGCCTTCACAGAAGGAACTACAGAAGGTAAATGAAGTGCAATTTGAGATATTTAAGGAGAAACAGATTAAGGATTATGCGGTATGCCTTGTTGAGCATGCCAAGTCGTACGAACGTGGTCGACCTGTGCGTGGTGGAATTAATGATCTTCGTATGGGAACCACCGATTTTGAGTTTGCCTGTGAGACCTGTCACCGCAAACACCCGGAGTGCCCTGGTCACTTTGGCTATATTGAGCTTGCCGAGCCTGTCTTCAACATTGGTGTCTTTGATCTTGTCCTGCAGGTGCTCAAGTGTGTGTGCAAGTCGTGTGGGGCGCTGCTGATGAACACGCAGGACCCGCAGGTGCTCAAAAAACTGCAGCACCTCACCGGCCTCATGCGACTCCGTCAAGTGGCGAAGATGTGCGGAATGAAGTGCCGCATGTCCACCGACGTGGATGGGGCCAATGAAGGAGAAGGCGGGGCCAATGGAGGCGGAGGGGGTCGGGGGTGTGGGGCCACGCAGCCGCGGATGGGCCGGCCGGCGGGCCTCTACCCGACCCTCGTCCTCCGGGCCGCCCTCGAGGAGCACGACGCCATTTGGCACGCCGACGCCGCCCGCCACGTCCTCGACCGCATCACCGACGAGGACGCCCGCCTGATGGGATTCGACCCCGTCCGCTGCCACCCCCGCGATCTCATCCTCACCGTCCTCCCCGTCCCACCGCCGCAGGTCCGGCCAGCCATCGCCTTTGGAAGCATCAAGTCCGATGACGAGCTCACTCATCAGATCATGTCCATCGTCAAGCGCAATAATCAGCTGCGTAAGGATAAGGAGTCGGATGTACAGGCAGCAGTGGACCGAAGTAGGGCATTACTACAGGAACATGTCGCCACCTACTTTAATAACGCCTCCACCTACTACAAACCAACAAAGGTAAATGATACCAAGAAACTTAAATCATTAACAGAACGATTGAAGGGAAAATATGGTCGATTACGTGGGAATCTTATGGGGAAACGTGTAGATTTCTCTGCCCGAACCGTTATTACAGGTGACCCAAATATAGATGTGGATGAGGTTGGTGTACCTTTTTCCATCGCCATGACTCTTACTTTCCCAGAACGTGTTAATGCAATTAATAAAAAGCGTCTCACGGAATTTGCCAGAAGACCAGTATACCCATCAGCAAACTATATTCATCATCCTAATGGGACTACAACAAAACTTGCTTTGGTACGAGATCGTTCTAAAGTAACATTAAATATTGGTGATGTGGTGGAGCGACATATTATTAATGGTGATGTGGTACTCTTTAATCGACAGCCAACATTACATCGAATGAGTATGATGGGTCATCGAGTACGTGTACTTAATTACAATACGTTTCGTCTTAATTTATCTTGTACAACACCTTATAATGCTGATTTTGATGGTGATGAGATGAATCTACATGTACCACAGAGTCTCTTAACAAAGGCAGAGTTAATTGAAATGATGATGGTACCTAAAAATTTTGTCTCACCTAACAAGTCTGCCCCTTGTATGGGTATTGTGCAAGACAGTCTCCTTGGTAGCTACCGTCTCACTGATAAGGATACCTTCCTTGACAAGTATTTTATTCAAAGTGTGGCATTATGGTTAGACTTATGGCAACTCCCAATACCTGCTGTGTTAAAACCGCGACCACTTTGGACAGGTAAACAAGTCTTCTCTCTTATTTTACCGGAGGTAAATCATCCAGCAACACCGCAAGATAAACCACCATTTCCACACAATGATTCAGCCATTATGATAAGACGTGGTCAATTACTTTGTGGTCCCATTACAAAAGGAATTGTAGGTGCTGCACCAGGATCATTGATTCACGTTATATTTAATGAACGTGGATCAGATGAGGTTGCCCGATTTATTAATGGTGTACAACGCATTACAACTTTCTTCCTTATTAATTTTGGTTTTAGTGTAGGTGTACAAGATACTGTTGCTGATGCGGATACTTTAAGACAGATGAATGAGGTTCTTGTAAAGACACGAGAGAGTGTTGAAAAGATTGGAGCAGCAGCTAACAATCGTACCTTAAATAGAAAAGCAGGTATGACACTTCTACAATCTTTTGAAGCTGATGTGAATAGTGCCCTTAACAAGTGTCGTGAAGAAGCCGCTAAAAAGGCACTTAGTAATGTGCGCCGTACGAATAGCTTCAAGGTTATGATTGAGGCAGGTAGTAAAGGAACAGATCTTAACATTTGTCAGATTGCCGTTTTTGTTGGGCAACAAAACGTTGCTGGTAGTCGTATCCCATTTGGATTCCGTCGTCGTACCCTCCCACATTTTATGCTTGATGATTATGGAGAAACATCACGTGGAATGGCTAATCGTGGATATGTGGAAGGATTAAAACCACACGAATTTTTCTTCCATACCATGGCAGGACGTGAAGGACTTATTGATACAGCTGTGAAGACATCAGATACTGGTTATCTACAGCGTAAACTTATTAAAGCATTGGAAGATGTTCATGCCGCATATGATGGTACAGTTCGTAATGCCAATCAAGAACTTATTCAACTTATGTATGGTGAAGATGGATTAGATGGAGCTCGTATTGAAGGTGGTCAAATGTTTCCACTCCCATTTAAAGATAATAAAGAAATGGAAAATGCGTATAAATATGAGTATGATGAAAATGGAGCATTTAATGAAAAGGTAGGAGGTATGTATATGGATCCACAAGTAAAGAAAATGTTGCGTGCTGACCCTGAGAATGTACGAAAATTGCAAGGAGAGTTTGATCAACTTGTGGCTGATCGTGACTGGGCACGAAGGATGTTAGATCTTGAAGAACGTGAAAAACTTAAATTAAATCTACCTGTTAACATTGGACGTCTCATTCAAAATGCACGAAGTACTATGGGTAAACGTAGTCAAGTCTCAAATCTTAGTCCTATTACTATTATTGATCATGTACGAAAATTACAAGATGATTTAATAAAACTTTTCCCATGTTATCATAGGGATATTGATGGACGTATTACGAATGTATTAAGTCGTCACCGCATTGATAGTGCTCTCACACTCTTTACTGTACATCTTAGACAGTTACTCGCTTCAAAGCAAGTTTTACGAGAATATAAATTAAATGATAAAGCTTTTGAGTACTTATTGAAAGAAATACGTACAAAATATCAACAATCTCTTATTTCACCTGGTGAAAATATTGGAGCTATTGCAGCTCAGTCTTGTGGTGAACCTGCTACCCAAATGACATTAAATACATTCCATAATGCTGGTATTTCTTCTAAGAATGTTACACTTGGTGTACCACGTTTACTTGAGCTTCTTAATGTTTCACGTCATCAGAAACATGCAAGTATGAATATTTCACTTTATCCTCCATGGGATAAGAAACGTACAGCCCAACAAGCCCAACATCTTATTGAATACTGTACATTAGAGAGTGTTACCAAACGTATTCAATTTATTTATGATCCTGATCCTCGTGAGACGGTGGTAGAGGCAGATCGTGCTATTTTAGAGTTGGAATGGAGTGTGATGGATGAAAGTGATGAACGTGCACGTTTGGAGGAGGTAGAGAATGGCTCACCATGGGTTGTACGATTAGAGTTGGATGCAGATATGTTTGTGGATAAGGCACTTAATATGAAGGATGTTAAACAAGCCATTCTTCGTGTGGATGACAGTTATGTTATTGAAACTGGTATGGTAAATGATACCAAAGAGCGAACCATTCGTATGCGACCAAAGAAAAATGATGGTGCAGACTCTATTCCAAAATTAAAACATACAATTCCAGAACTTTTGGCACGGGTACATTTACGTGGTATTCCTGGTGTACGTAAGGCGTTATTAAAGGATACCACAACTTTTAAAGTGGATCCCACAACAGGTAAGATGACAGGTGAAAAGACATGGTTAATCGATACAGATGGAACTGCTTTACGTCGTGCCTTTATTGGTGTAGTAGATGAAAATGGAAAAAATATTATTAACGCTTGCAAAACTAGCAGTAATAAAGTACCAGAAGTTTGTACTCTACTTGGTATTGAGGCAGCTCGTTATAAAATGTTGCATGAGTTACGTGAGGCTTATCTTGCCTATGGTCTTAATATTAATTACCGTCATTATACAATTCTTGTAGATACTATATGTCAACGAGGTTATTTAATGGCTGTTTCACGTGTTGGTATTAATCGATCTGAGATGTCAGGTCCTTTAATGCGTTGTTCCTTTGAAGAAACTGTAAAGGTACTTATGGCGGCAGCATCTTTTGGAGAACGAGATCCTGTACGTGGTGTATCTGCTAATCTTGTATTGGGTAATCAAGCACGTATAGGTACAGGTCTCTTTGATCTTGTACTAAACATGGCAGCCTTACAACAAGCTGTACCACAAGAAGACGCTGTAGCACCTGGAAAAGATGTGAATGTTTATCATGGTCTTGCTTCTACACAGAATATTCAATCCTCTGTACCGTATCGTGCGAAGGATCATGAGGCCACACCATTTGTAAATGAAGCGAGTCTTTTCTTCCGCGACGCCGGTGCTGGATCTTCACTTGCGGCTGGTGGTGCAACAACAACGCCATTTACGGCCTCTACACTTTATGGTGGTATGCATGAGGCAAGTGCGGTACACTTCAGTCAAATGTATCCCGCGAGTGTAATGGCAGAACAGCGTGGTCGTGCGGCGAGTGTCTCCCAACCGTACAGTGTGCTTTCCTCAGCAAGTGTGTACAACCCGGTATCTCTCACCATGCCAACAGTTGCCATGGGTACACATACGAGCAGTGTTGGAGTTCCCAGTGCGGATTACAGTGAGGCCTCCTCCTTTCATCTGCAGTCCAGCATGGCCATGCCATCTGTTCACTCCTCCCCACTCAATCCCTACGATAACAACCTCTACGATAATAATAATAATATTAACGACCATCATCATCATCATCACCATCACCAGAATAATAATAATAATAATAATAATAATAATAATAATAATAATAATAATAATCATCATTATAATAACGGCTTTGACCATCGTGCGGAGCTTTCCCCTGCCTATGTGCCCTCTGTGGTATCCACCGTCGCCCAACAGCCATACGGCGGCGATGGGGCCGATTCCGAATCGCAGTCCGCCTCTTACGTCCCCCGCGTATCCCCCGAGTACACTTCCTACACAACAGCAGCAATAGGAGGAGGAGGAGGAACTAATTTACCGGCTGGGGCGACGGGCCGCGTGAGTGCCGCTCCCCACTCGGCGGAGGGCTCGGCGAATTATGTGCCGACCTCCTCAGGGCCGCATGGACTGCCGCCGCCAATGGGGGAGTTCTCGCCAACAGAGGATCAGGAGGAGGAGGAGGAAGAGGAACAGAATCGACGACAATAGTAAAAAAAAAAAA